CCCCCGCAGGGCCAGCAGCTGCTGGAGGAGCGAGGTGAGCACTCCCCCCTGGAGCACGACAGCTTGATGCCATCGGACGAAGCCAGCGATCCGTCCCCCCGTGCCTGGGGGGGTCCGGCCCAGAGGGGCTCACGGCACCTGGAGGAGGAGGAGGAGGAGTACGGGGGTCCCTACCCAGACCTCTACCAACCACACCGACACCACAACTCGGGTTTGCACGGCCCCCCCTCGGCCCCCACCGCAGCGCAGGAGCGGCTCCTGGAGCGTGACCCCGAGCGGAACTGGCAGCGCAGCCGGCCCTGGGCCAAGGACAGCTATTAGGGGCTGGGGGGGGTAAGGAGAGGAGGGGGGGGCACGGCTGGGACCCGGCCCTGCAGCTCGTCGTGCCCGTGCCCCCCATCCCAGCCCCACACTGGGGGTGCTCAGACAATCTCCCTCTCTTGGGGAACAGCGGCAGCTTCCCGGCACGCCGTCAGCCATAATAAGCACAGGGCGGGGGGGAGGGGGGGCTGACAGCTGGGGTCTCCACCCCCCCCCACCCTCCCACCCCCCAGGTGACCCCAAAGCTGTCCCACAACTCCACCCCCACCTCAGCTTCCCCGCATCGCACGCCGCCCCATTCCCTGCAGCAGAGGGTGCCTCCCCCCATAGGGCAGGCTGGAGGGGGGGGGCAGCTCCATCACCATCCCCTCCCCAACACAAAACATTGCCCTGAGGATGTGGGGGGGGGGCTGCGCCCACCTCCCGGGGGGGCTCAAGCTGTCCCCTTCCCCTGCATGGGACCCCCGAGAGGAGGGGGCCACACCACACGCTTTGCTCCATTCCCCACTCACTGGTAGCCAACAGCTCCCTCCCCAGGGTGGGGGGGGGTGGAAAATGGGGGCAAAGGGGGGGGGCAGCCAGACCCCATGTGTGGCACTGCCAGACCCCAGATACGGGGCAGCCACCCCACGCCTGCACTCGCTGTCCCTGCTGTCCCCATCCCATCACCACACGGCCCTGTAAATACAGCACCCACCACCTCCACGTGCTGGGGGGGGCGGGAAGGGAGGGGGTCCGTGGGACCCTCTGTGGGGAGCAGCAGCA